TTKKTTTWWWWTKRAWTTTTTYYTYMWTGCAATATATGTTCTCTATTACTGCGTTGTTTGTTGTTTAATAAGGGTATGTTCAAGTCCTTTTGTGATTTTAAGTTTGTTTTGTTTTGGCACAAAGTTATCGTACGTGTGCTCAAAGCCCTTTAGTGTTTGATAAAAGCAAACGATACTATCACTCGAATATCTACCAGAAGACAAATAGCCAGTAGCAATCATTTATTTCTGTTTTTTGTAGACCTTAATATAATCCAGATTGTATTAACATTGAATATAATCGGAAATATCTCAGCATATTTCACGCCAAAATACGCTTACGATCAAGCAGCTCACACCAAGAATTCAAAACAAACACCAAAGTATTGATATACAAACTTGGATCGATTTTTTTCTTTATTAATGGTGAAAATAACTGTGAGAGAATGGTATAAGACGGTATATATAATAAAATGATATGAAATAAAATGATCTTGGGAAAAGATAAATGAAATTCACGTAATATCGAGGACCAGGGAGGACCTGGTAGTATAGCATTGAGCTGTAAAAAGCTGGAGGGGGGTCCTGCCTGATTTGAGACCAGACTACATAGACTATGCGAAGACGTTCGGACATAGGTGCTTCATCTGAGTACAGTAMTTTTTTTATGCAAATAAGTTACTTCTCTAAGATATCTCTCTTTTGTATTGTATACAATTTATCAATGTCATTACATCTACATTGTTTCTCTTGTACAGTATTAATTATAGTGGTGATATGYATTATTAATCTAGCTTTGCCTAAAAGTTTTGTAAACATTAAAATTGAATATCCTAGACCTTCCTTTGAAGGAATCTTATTAAGTCTTTCAAACTACCTATAGTAGAATTCAAGATAAAAATTAATATTGTAAGTTCCAGATCTAAATGAGATAAAAGATAACATTCTCTATTAACTGTTACTTCCATAATTTATTTATAACCTGTCAGCATTCAAGAGAGATAATTAGCCTTGAAGTATTGATGAAAAGGTCTTTGCATTGCTCTGATTGGATAAGGCTCTGTTGCTACTGTTAATTACATCTATGAACTTAGATCTTCATATTTGCAATGTTTTTAAGCAATGTATTTTTTGTTGGTATGATCATTTTGAGACTCTGCTGGTTGTGAATTTATTTATAATGATATAGATCAATGAACTACTTATTTGAAGGACTTGATGTGTTCATAGACATAATAACACGATATTAATACTAGAGTAAACTTAATATTAATGTTATATAGTATGTAGTTAAGCATGCTCAAGTAAAAAAATTGTTGTTCTTTAGAGCATAATTGATTGTTTAGTATTATTGACTGTGGTTTTGGTTGACATCCCACWCATTACTTTGCTAATGATGCAGAAATGCCAAATCATTGTCATCTAAATTAATGAATGAAATTGATGTGGTTTCACTAATCCACAATCCTRGACAAAAAGAGTTGAGAATGCTTTAAAAATCGCAGAATGTTGAAATGTCTCTGTATATCTTTTTTCTTTTTCTGCCCTCCCCCCGCCCCCCTTCGCTCAAGGTTGTACTTTAAAGAGCACACATACCTGCTGTATTCTGTTTGAGTGCTAACAACACTGTTTTGGGGGAGGGGAGGGGGTAGAGAGGCTGTTTTGTTGAACTGACCTGAAGGGTGCAGTTATTCTCAACCTTTTTGTCCAGGATTGCAGACTAGTATGTTTTATGTATATCACAAACTACTTTTATGGTCCTGTATCAGTTGTGAATTAGTATTCAATCATGCAGAATAAGACTGTTGAAAATAGGTACTATATCTAGTTCTGTTGTATAACCAATCAATAAGAACAATAGTTACCTATGTCGACCCTCCCACTACATTGGGTTACCTGTGTCAACAAACTCACTGATTGAGTTGCCTGTACGTTGTTTTCCTTTGCAGTCCATTCTTTGGAGAGGATGTTCATTTTGAAGTACCAAGAGACTTCCGTTCCCTTTGTTTCTATGTGTATGATACAGACTTGATAGGAAAAGATACTGTTTTAGGAAAGGTTAGAATTMATTTTAAAATTTTCATTTCAAGGATGTTAATTTATGTTTGTATGATTTTTAGCTGCTTTTTTCTCTTTCTTTGACCTAAATTCACTTTTTTGTAAATTCTCATGAAACAAGTCAATAAGGAAAATTTTTAAATATAATCAAATGTTACGCAGTTGATCTATGATATGATGAAATCATTTTGTCTTGCTGTTTTTAATGTTTTCTTAAGGTTGCTATTAAGAAAGAAGATCTTCAAAAACTCCATTCTGATACTTGGTTTGACTTGGTGCATGTTCATGCAGACACTGAAGTCCAGGGAAGGATACACTTAGAAATCAAGTACTTTGACAGTATTCCAGATTTACATGAAGAAGAACTATCAAGCACTCCTAAACTAAGAATCAGGTATATGCATGTTATCCATTTATTTCCCCATGTATTTATGAATTAATGTACTTATTATTTCATTTATTCTTTCATCAGTCATTTTTTCTTACATCTATTCATGCTATTTTATAATTAAAGATGGGTTGTTATGTCCAGTTATTTACAAAATTCGCTGTTTTTATTGTTATTATTATTTATTRTTACAAAGTATCATGTAACTGCTGTAATTACCACTAAAATCTGTTTTTTTTTTTTTTCTCTTCCATTAGAATCAAGGAATGTAGTGATATATTTGCCTGTAGTGGTGGTGGGACATTCTCTGATTCATTTGTGACAGTTACAGTACTAAACCCACCATCCAGGTAGGATCCTAGTTATCACTTGGTGGACGTGTTTACATGGAATCTCAGTAGCTTTGTTTTACAGATCAGACACACGGAAAACTAGAGTTAAAAGGAAAACAGTTAATCCCCAGTTTGATGAGTCCTTTCTTTTTGAGGTAAAGATCCAGTCTCTATATGTCCAGCAAGTAAATGACTTATTAACTTGGTATTTGTATTATTTTTTTAGTTACCTTATGAAGACCTGGAAAACACTATAGTAAGGTATGATTAACAGCAGTGAATTTGAATGTTTAAAGATGAAAACCCAAAATGTTACTAGTTTTGTCATAATGTGTTCTGGTTTAGATGTGCTTTGTGGAGTTCTACCCTRCTTGGAGAAGATGTTTTCCTAGGAGAGGTACTTCTCATTCTATACCTATTGCCATAAAATCATCCGTTGTAATAATTTTTTTTTTTTTTTATTTCTCTCTCTAGGTCAGAATTCCATTGAACAAGTGTGACTTGGTAGCAGCACACGAAGGCTGGTAATTAATATCCTATAATATCCTATCAGATTTCTGTTCTTTCTTTGTTGTTTAAAACTATTGACATTATTGTTAAACTTGCTGGTGGTAATGTGCAAAGGCCTTGGTTGATTGACAGACATCTGTTGCCAGTATGGATTAACAATCTGTATTTCATGTCCCAGGTACTGGTTAGGTCCCAGGGAAGATAGAAGATCATCAGTCAGTCAACAGAGCATTGGATCTTTAAGAGTCAAGATTTGTTATACAGAAGATCATGTTTTTCCTTCATCTTACTATGATCCTATGAGAGAAGCAATACTTGATACCCATAAACATCAAGTAATCTCATCATTAGTCATTATATTTCTCAATAATCAACAAATTTAATTAATCTTTTTTTCATTAGGATGTGACAACAGCTCCTTCATTTATTCTTTCTGAAGTCGTCAAGGACAAGCTTTCAGCTGCTAGATCTCTTGTCAGGGTGTTTTCACATCATAATCGGGTAAGTAATCCACCACCATTACACCATTAATTCAATGTAATGGTTTTTCTTTTGTATCAATGTCTGTACCAACCCCTTGTACCCTCCCTGATTGAAGTACTGTATTGATCTCCCCCCTACACTAGCCTGCGTAGCGGCCCTAAGGGGATTGGGGAGGGCCGGCCGAGCGGGGAGTGGGGAGGAAAATAGGAAGGGCCTGCAAGCGGACCCCACGGTTTTACGAAACACCCCCTAATTAATATTTTCAAAAGTCTGGCAAATCTAACTTTACAGTTGTCAAAATAAACCAATTACGAAGCGCTATCAGTATGAGGTCGCGAGGTCAACGGACATGAGAACTGTCAAATATTTTTGTAATATTTTTGATGCTACACCATCAACAACCAGAGCCACAATTCTTGAAACAAAACTTTTATTGTCCTTGTCTTTGAGAAAGTCCGTGAAGCGTCTGTCCAAAGCACTTTCAGCGGAAGCATATATAACATCTACACTCGATAACATGTCTAAATCCCCAATCCCCTTAGGGCCGCTACGCAGGCTACCCTACACCAATAACCCACAATGCTGACTCTATTATATCATSACTAGGTTGTGGAGTTTATAAAATCCATAGTCGATTATGAAGTGAAGTCTACAGCGTATGTAATCAACCATTTGTTATCTGTTATTTTGTCCAATAATCCAATCCTGATTACTATATTCTTATTCTTCTTTCATCCCCTTATTCACTTATTAATCCCATGCATCCTTTCATTTTACACATTYGTTTATCCATCTTCTGTCTTGAAAAATGTTACACAGGGATCCCAATACACTATTCAGAGGAAACTCATTRGCAACTAAAGCAGTTGATGAATTTATGAAGCATGCTGGGATGCAGTACCTTCACGACACTATAAAACATCTAGTGGATGAGGTAGTTATTAGTATTATAAAGACTTTGTATAGAGAAAAAAAGAAATAASTTTATATTATATTTAACTTTTAAAGATATTTGAAGAAAGAAAAAGTTGTGAAATTGATCCTTCCAGGCTTCGTGATGGTCAGTCATTAGAAGCAAACTTGGTAAGTTAATCCGTCTTAGTCGATTTGTGGAATCTGGACTACATAGAGCACTTTTAGGTGGCATAACATTTGTTGCTATAAAAGGAGCAATCAGGATTTACTACAAACAACAGCAGTACATTAGACAGGCTCAGAGGGTAATCAAAGACTACAAACAAAACTAATTTACTAAACTAATGTTGCTTTCTTTATACGACACATGTATTTGTAGGGGGTTTTAATCAATGAATTCTGTAAGTTTACTGTACCTTTTCACAGGCTAACTTACAAGGATATGTAGATAAGCTGTTCAATGCTATCACCTGTTCTGCCATTGCTTGTCCTACTATTATGTGTCAAGTGTTCTTTACCATCAAAGACTCAGCTGTTAAAAAGTTTCCTGGTAAGAGAATGTCATGATTGACAATTAAGATAAGAAAAGTGGAAAATAGAAAGAAAAGGAAAGTGAATGCACAATTTAATGGGATGAAAGGGAATCAAGCAATAMGTTTAAAATCAAAAKGATGATATGCATTTATAATGATATTTTGCAGATGARCCTGATGTACGGTACACAGCGGTCAGTGGTTTTGTATTTCTGMGATTCTTTGCACCAGCCATTTTGAATCCTAAATTATTTCAGATGAGAAGTGAGCACCCTGTAAGTTTAATYTAATTTGAAGTAAAAGGAAGGCATGGTAGATTTTTTATTTTATTTCATTTTATTTTTCAATCTTCAGGATCCACTGACAGCAAGAACTCTCACATTGATATCCAAAGCAATTCAAAGCATTGGGAATCTTGTCAGCTCTGTGTTTGTAAGTAATTAAATGACTGTGTAGTAAAATTATATAGTTTTTATGCTGATAATAGTGCTGTTCTGTTCAGTGTGGCCAGGTTAAAGAACCATACATGGARAATCTTAAAGCTATGATTCTTGATGAGAAACACATCTTAGCAATCAAAGGGGTATGTAAATGCTTTCAGTGTTGTTTTGTACTATAGGTTATTTTATACTATCTAAAAATGTATTTATTCAATTATTTACCATTTAGTTTCTTGATGCAATTGCAACATCACCTGTCAACTCCCAAGGTTTGCCTGTAGATTATCAAATAGTTCTGAAAGAAGGGTAAGCTATGCATTTATTGATAATTTCAAACTATAATAGTTTATTAGTATATAGGTATTAGTGATGGTGGAGAGACAATGTTAACATAACACTGAAGCAGTATTACAATGATAATTAAAGTAAGCAGGGAAAGAAGACACTAATGATAGTTTTCCATTCTCATCCTCAGGTATCTGATCAAGCGATCACAAGGAAGATCAAGGTTTGGATTCAAGAATTTCAAGAAGCGTTTTTTTGTGTTAACCAACAGAGGTCTGTCTTACTACAAGACCAAAGGCAAAGGTCTTCTCTGTCACATATCATGTGATGATATCAAAGGTGTTGAGAAACTTGGAGAAGAATCTTTCAAACTTAAATTGGTAAGAACTATATAYATCAAGTAACAAGGACTGATGATTGCAATGATGATGATGATGATGGTATTGTTTGTTGTCATTGTTGATGCTGGTGATGATAATGTAGGTGGCGCTCTACTGTCTTTGGATATTTACATTGTAAGCATGTTTGTTTTGTYCAGATGTTTCAGATATTTCAACCTGACAAGCCACTGTACATTCAGGCCAACAACAGTGTAGAGGAACGTGAATGGTAAATTAACTTACTCTCTTTGTTTTTATGGTTTATTTCATTCTGTTTTCTGTTGATGATTTTATATTAATATTTTATATTAATTTTGAAGTTGTTTTCATCCACTCCAGCATGAAAACCATTTCCAAGCTTTCTCAAAACTGTATTTAACCCATCTTATAATAAGTACTCACTTTATTTTTATAAATCAGGATGACTGCATTACGAAAGTTGTGTCAAAGTAATACTGATAAAATTGAGAAGTATCATCCAGAGGCTTTTGTWTGTGGTGCATGGCTATGGTAGGTGTTTATCCTGGTAATGATCCAAGTATTTGATGACATTTAACACTTTCATTGTGTACACAGCTGTAAGGAAAGGAGTGACAAAGCAGCAGGATGCCAGCCAGTTACTGAGTATGTACATTAATCATTATATTATTATCTTCAATCAATCATGACCATCTATGATATTAACTCTCCTTACAGAATGCCACAGCCAAAGTGTGTCAATGTTGTTATCGATTGTGACAGAGAAATTGAGAGAATCCACTCATTGTTTTTAGTCAATCTTGAACAATTGGATGAACTTCAAGGTATAGTATCCTATCCTATTATTAACAATGGGTGGTCGTTATCAATAATTAACAGTTAATCAACTGTTGCCATGATAACTATTATAATATTATTATATTATAGGTACTGGTACTGGTATTGTTTTGTTTGTTGTTGTGTTGTCTTTTTGTTTTGTTGCTGTCACTAAACCAATATGTTCTACTACAGCCTTCATTTCTAAAACTGAGCACTCAGTCAGTGTTGTTGTATTTAGTTGAATGGGAGTCAAGTTACGAGTCGTCAGATGATGATGATCGACATTATTGCAAGGCGAAATTGGAGTCTATTAATACAATACGATCACATATCATCAGCTTAGAACAAGAACACAAACAATACCGTAAAATAACTAATCGTTTGACCAGACATGGAAGCAAGTAAGTTAGTTGTGGCATAATTTGATAATCTCTTGCTGTCTAAATTTGTTTGTTTGTTTTTGTGTTCTTGTAAAAAACTAGGGCAAAGGGTTGGTTTACTCATTTTTGTTGATTATAAATTGWGTTTGAAAGTTCTAGCTGTAACTCAGTGCATTTTAGTTGATTGAAATGATTTTTTTGCAGAAAATGTCCATGGGGGCCCACCCAAGAAGAGCTCGATCCAATACGTCACGTGACTTTATGACCAGGTCACGTGATTGTAAGTAGGCATATTTTATATTTTACCATTGTACCTCATTGTATGAGGCCAGGAACATCTGCTATCGTTTCACTTTCTTTTGTCAACTTATAAAAGCATGCAAATGCAACACTCTTCAAGCTGATGGTTTTTGTTTTGTAACGCAAAATAACCATGTTGTCTTAGCTTTCCAAGCCACAACTTGAAGATCCTTTTTGACAAATGTTAAAGATCCTCTTTGTAGTCTTTGTACAGATCTGAATTCTACGGCCCCTGTACAGATATGTGCATCATTACAATTCAAAAACCATCCAGTCCATACAGATATGCACCAGGGAACTTGATATCGATTTATTTAAATTGTTGTTATTTTAATGTAGGTACAATACGTAGACACAGGAAGCCCAAAGATGTTTATAKAAAACCATAGTGAAGTGGATTGGGCTTCCTGTGGAATATACTACGTGAAATTAAGAATTTTTTGTTGTAAGCAAGTTTTGCTTGATTTCAATCCGGCTGGTTTCCGGATGTAAAGTTTATACATTTCCATACATAGATAGATCGCTATTTATTCAGCCATATTTGGGAAATGAAATTGGTTTTAAGGTGTATCTAATGATAATAAACCAATTATATATGGAACATTTTAACCATCAAAATATTAGTGCAATGCATGTTGTACCTTGGGAAACTGAATGTAGGATTAGATATCCCTCGCAAAAATCCTGTCACGTGATAGAGGTGGACATATCACGTGAGCATGGCAGGATGTTGTAACGACATACCTCTTAATAGTTGCGTGGTGGACCAAGACCATCCWYGTGGCATTTCGATGCAAAAGAAACGCCTGTCACGTGATCTTTAGTGCCCAAGGTCATGTGACAAGCGATATGTGAGGTTACTGAGTTAGAGAGAATGTTATAATAATTACCTAATGCATGCTAAAAGGGCAATACCCGATCCTTGTCTTAGTGATGGCATTTCATGTAATCGCAGAGTCGATCAACATTTTGACTGAAATACTTTGTTAATGTCTCCTTTAAGATATCATTTTACGCAAAACGATGTCCAGAAAATGTAGTTTGACAAACAGAAACTCGACGGTCAATTACTAGGAAGGATTTCGGTATTGCTTCAATTACTCCAATTCATGTGGCGATATTTAGGTAGATATTCTACCTCGATTCTACCAAACATTGGTATACTTTAATGAACGGTTAGATCCGTGTGTATCTCAGTTTTCTAGTAAAACTGCTGCCATCTCTCATCATCGGCTGCCTTGGTTGTGTTATAATCATGTGATTATTCAAGTTTTAAGATGGATTCGGCCACCTGTAGAGATTTCCTCTATTTTCCATGTAAAACCTTCGAAACTAGATGGACGAGGGCGAATGGTAGCATCCCGACTTGTCTTTCATTACTGATCAAAMGCCATAAGATTTTTTAGTTTCGATAGAAAAAGTCCGCATGGTTAAAGGACGAAATGTCCGAACGTTTTCTATCTTTTTACGGTATTTTTTTTCCTCACTACTGTTAGRAGCACGTTGTAGTTCACATTTATACGCACTTGTGATGATTAATAGAATTCGCCCTCGTCCATCAGTGCAGCGTGTTTGATCATTTTAGTAAACTTCGTTGTGACGTCTACTAATGCATCCAATCCACTGAAACTCCGGTCACCAAATCCCGGGTAGTACCTGAGAGCTAACATATTATAATCAACGGGAAGGGGGGAGGGAATTATCTGCTAAACCAAAAGAAATGATCTGTTTAGCCGACTTTTTAAGGCCCTAAGAGTCGGGACAGACTCGGTATTGCCCGAGGGGAGGAGGGTGTGGTTTCAATTGACTGATGCATAACTGTCCAATTAGAACGTACGTTTGTATCACTGAATAATCACCACAATGCCATTTGCATTTCAAATGCAGTTTAATATTTTCTGACAACGCTCTTGAATAAGCTGTAATCTTATTTACTAGTGTGTATATATTAATTTACAGATTTGTTTATGTAAGCAATTTCTATTGGATAATTTTGTTGCTAAGCAATATGTTAAGATATTTATTACAAGAGAGGTCATTGGTCAAACCAGTGCGCATGCGCAATGAATTATCAATAAAAGGACTTTATATCAAGTTGTGGTGGCTTCTTGTAATTATTAGTTATAATACCGACAATCGGCTACTCCCTTATTAAGAGTGTTCCATGAATGATAATCATTTATCCATTGAAATTTCCCTGAAATACTTTTTTTWATCTCGGTTTGTAAATGTATCAGGAAGGTTTCTCTRTGCATGTTAGCGTTTTTCYAGGRACAAKGTTCATTTTGAAGGTTTAAAAAAATATCAAGTAGTTTCCGCTATTAGTAACAAAAAGAGATGAAAACCCCTAGTTAATATGAAATTGTCTAGCTAGATTTTAAGGACTACAGCACTAATATCAACAGTAAATATACAAAAGACTATCCTTTGACATTTTTTTTGACATATTTTTTACAAGCGGTGACATGTTAAATCTTCACAATGATCATGTCACTGGACGAAAAACTTATATATCCAATTTTTCCATAAACATTTCGTTAATCAAAACTCGCGAGACTCTTGTTGTTTTTTATTATTATTGTTGTTTTCGCCATTCCTTGTCGAATTTACAATAGTATTACGTAAAAGTGACGTTACATGTATGTTCAAACCATAGATGTCTTCACTAAATAATGACATTAGTTTATAATTATTCTGAAACAAAAGAGCAATCTTTCTCTTAATAAGCTTAATACCACATTTCTTAAACATCTTGATTATTTTGTTGTAAAATTGTTTTTTTCGCATATATCATTACCCATTCTAATCTACATTGTTCAAGGTTATTTACCAAAATTATTGCGTTACTACAGCAACTTGATGGCAGTTGTGTTTGAGTTCACCTATAAAGGAAGCGCGCTTAGTCGCTAACCTTCAAAGCGGTGTCGGGTTTTTTTTTTTCTAAGCAAACCGCGAAAAATACTTTTTAARAGTCAATCCAGCAAACAATGAAGGCGTAAGGTACGTTTCTTTCAGAGAGAATATATTGTAATCATGTATTTTCTGTACTTGATTCTATACAAATTTCTAATCAATGCGTTGGTTCCGGTGTCCAAAAAACGAATGTTGCACATAAGTCTGCTAGTGCTTGTACACTACTACACACTGAATATCATTCAAAGTTGAATTACGCTTTATTCGAAGTTCTCTTTTACAGAAAATGCATGCAGGGATGTTCCTCAGAGTGCATTTTAGGACCGCTTTTGAAACATTTAATGATTTATCTATAAAGGAAATGTTGTCGACTAAATGGCTATCATATTTTACCCTATGTAATCCAAATCATGATTGTAGCTATGTTACCGATAAAGGTTTCGCTTATATCATCAACTGTTCCTCGAGGAGTTTTCTCGGGATGAAACGATGATTTTATGATAAATCGGATAAAAAGGAAGTAGTGMAATTTATTTTCTTTTACGGTGAACGCATCGATAACACTTTGGAAGGAAAACTGATTATATATTTCCGTTTTTTTCTTCTTCCTCGATCATTGTTACAGAAGAATCAATTYATGATCCAAGGTTAGGGCATCATCTCATCAAATACCCGACAACATGGCGTTTCCATTTATCAATTGCGATGTGCTGTGATTGAAAGGTTTTGAGTTCATATTTCTTGTAGAAATGAACTATGAAAGGATGACAGGATAACACCTGATTGTTGTCTAATGAGTATTGATAAGGACAGAGGACCAGGAACGCTATTGATATCGTACATTTAATGATGCACTGTGATCCAGTGATATAACAAATAGCTAATGATATTCACTGTTGTTTGTCTCAGAACACGACGTCGCGTAGAGAAGCTTTGTTATATTTAAATTGTCAACAACACATGAAAAACACCTCAGTTGATCATCAACATCAAAGCGAACGAGTGAAATCAGTCCGGATTCTTTACTTCGCGTTCTTGATGCCATTGTCATTGGAGTGGACAACTTAGCAACAAACAGGGGTTTGAAGGGACGGTAATTGTAACTGAAAACAGTGGACTTGCAGTCTTTAAAGAGTAGTTGTTGTTACTCTGTCATGAATAATACAACACAGTCCAATCAAGAAAACATATCAACAGGGGTCTTAGTATACTCGGTGATTTTATTTGTAATTGTTGTCCTTGCGTTGGCGGGAAATGCAATAGTGTGCTTGGCGTTCTACCGTTCCTCGACGTTTCGTTCTGCTACAGTGCTGTTCATCTTGTCCTTGGCTGTAACTGATATTCTTGTAGCTACCATCTCTATTCCATTATGGCTCTCGTTGCAGCTTAAATTCTGTGAAGACCAACATTGTTTAACTCCATGGAAAATCACYGATGTTCTTTTCTCGACTGCATCCATCATGAATCTTTGTGCTATCAGTGTGGATAGACTAGTCATTATATCACGACCACTCCACTATCCAAATATCATGACTRCAAGTCGTGCTAACATCGCATTGGTCGCTATCTGGGGTTTTGCTGTGACCCTCTCAGCCTTGATATCCACTAGTTGGTCGTTTTACCCAACCTTCGTGTTTATCGTAGCTTTTGTCCTACCTCTTTTGATCATGATTTCATCGTATTCCTTCATTCTCAAGGCAGCTTTATCCCAAGTTCGCCGTGTTTTCCCAATTCGCCAAGCATATTACTTCAAACGAGAACTGAAAGCAGCTAAGACACTAGGTATTGTCATGGGTGCATTTATTACTTGTTGGGCTCCATTCTTCCTGGTTAATCTGATAGTGAGCTATCGTAAAGACATCGTCGTTAGTACTACATCCATTGCAGGCATTAAGACACTTCATTATATCAACTCTGCCTTAAACCCTGTTATATACTCGTGTTCAAATAAAGAGTTTCGCTTTAAGATCTTGAGGGTTTTGCCATGTGGTTCTGCTAGACACTCAAATATGATCGATCGAGTGGTGTTTTGGTCCACTACTCTTGGTGCAAGCACAGATTTAAGTTCCACTTATAGAGACAGTTTCAGAGCACATAAGAACTGAGAACTGAATGAAACTGAATGAAAGAAAAACAACAACAAAAGAATAAACTTAGCACCAAGAACAATTAATCGTCGAGTCAGAATGGCTAAAAAGGGTAGAAAGAAATTAAATGAAGTCGCTAAAAGATCAAAGTGGAAGTTTATAGATACTTGATTTAAAACATTGATAGGTGCATGGGACAAAGTTAATTATACATTATGTTTTTCTTTCTTTTTCCATTTTTTTCAAGTATTTCATGCAATGTCGGTAATGAGATATCTTATAAAAGTTAAATGTTACGAACAAACTAACAGATGAAAATCAAAACAAAGTGACCTAGTGTCTTATGTCAACAAAAACTTCCCGTTTCTAATTATTCTGTGCACTGCTTGTCCGATATAAATACATACTATATTATAAAAGGTTTTCACATTTTGGACTTTTGCTAATCTGGTCATTTTTTTCTTTTTGATGATTAAAAGTGCACTCACCTTTCAATGATAGAAGTTGTTCATTAGGTTTTTGTTGATTCAGTTGTTTTGTGATAATAAAAGGGTTTGACTGTTTTGATTTATCAGTTTTTGAGTTTCATTTCTCACAATTTTTCCTTTATTTATTTCATTCCATTCATGTCACCATCCTATCAACTGTACTATCAATAAAAGCCAATATTATGAAAACAGTGTCAAAAATCCATCATTTTCTTTGTATGTCACAAATTAATAACAAACGTCATATATTCACAGTACAAAAAGCAGGCGTGAATACTACAATGTTTCTTTGTCTGAGCTTGATGGAATAGTTAGAAACCTTGGCTAAAAGAAGGCTAAAGGTGCGATATTCTTGGCTTGTGTCCAATATTGTTTACTTGGGTAAAAACAGAAAAGAAAACAGGTATAATTAGAAATGCAAATCTACATTAAAAATGGCATGTTTTGACAACAAGTGAAATGTTTGACATTGTACTGTTGGCTTTGTGCTCGTTTATCTGAAAGACATACAACAAAGGTTTCCCTTCTTCTTGTCACACAGCAAAGCAAAGGAACACTTTTCCTCTTAAAATGCAACTCCTGCATATTTTTTAGTTTATCATTTTTTTTTTCCACAATGGCGCGATAAAATCTCTTGTCAGTCATTGGAAGAGGTTGCAGAGTTGATTCTGATTGGCTAATGATGAACCATCACGTGAAAGTGCTGCAAATTAACTGGAATAAACGCGCTGCTTTCGTGAACAGGAACCGAGCTTTAATATTTTAAACTACCCATTTCCCGTTATTAGCAGTATTCTAATTAATGTCCCAGGGAAAGTCGAGCCAGCCAACAGATGTACAAATAAACTTTTCATTAACGAAACAAAAATTGTCATTCTAAAGACGATGATAATGTATTTTTACCACAAAGAAATATATCTAAAGCTTAAGACTTCATTTTATAATCGGTTGTTAATATCCTCGTCCGTCTGTTCTCTCAAGAACTATCGTGGATTAGTCTAATCCACCATGAATTATCCAAGATCAAAKCTTATATCAATAAACTTTTCAAAGCTAATGATTGTTTTTTCAGCGCTATATTTGTTATATTTTTCAGGGTTTTTTTGTGAGGCATTGTTTTAATTACCAAAAAAATACATTTAATGAGGACTCAAAGCAAATCGAAACTGATCTGTTGAGTCGGAATCGACATTATAAATCGTTCTTGTTTCTTGCTACTAGCACTTTTCCTGTTTTCTTTCCTCTTCAATCAGTCCACAAAAACAAAATGTGCAAATAAATGAAAGAAAAAAACAACAACAACAAAACAATGCCAAGCGAGACGAGGTCAGGCAACAGAGTACAAYTATAATATAGGTAGAAAGGCAGAAAGACGGGGACAATTTGGCATATCATAAATTTGGATTTTCCTGTTTTTCACGGTTTTAGCAWATATATGTGAGATATTTTCGTTGGATAAGTTTTTTATTTCATTAGTGAAGTCTACCAATGTATGAGTGACACAAAGTGTACACGTTATATAACTATACGTTCATTTAATCGTTGTGTATTCATTCTGCCACCTGGTAGACGTAGTTTGTGATCTGTCCTCCAACGCCGTTCCAGCAGTTTGTACTTGGTCCATGTACGCTATAGACACTGTCGTCKTTAGACACCCAACATTCACCGTAAAACTGCAAAGCAAAGTACTTGTAACCAGCTTGTTTTGCTGTCTGATAGCATTCATACACTAAAATTGATAAAAACAAATATTTGATTAGCCGAACGCAGAGGCCAAGTTACTTAAGATTGCTGGGAATGATTGACGCACCTGTACGGTCGATATTAAACCAATCAATCTTTAAGCGTAGATTGACAAGCAATTTTGGCATAGCTCGTTGTGCAACGACGTCTCTCCAACATCCCAAGTCCCTCCATGGTGCGAACCTATAGACAAAGTTTGCATAATGCATACCAACACCTGTAGAAATAAAGACAGTTTAGTGAGGACTTCCAGGACACCGCCCGTCAGACAGTCGGTCAGCTAGTCCATCCGTCAGTTAACCAGTATTATGTCAGTCAGTCAGTCAGTCAGTCAGTTAGTCATACTATACCTTCAAAGCATTTTTGTTTTTCATCAGTTGGATCGGCTTTTCCATACATATCATATCGGGTTTCAGCTTCATTATCAGCCCAACACTCTCCATAAAACTGAATTCCGAAGTATTTGTATCCTTTCTCGTGCGCACGCTCGCCGCACTTCGTCACCATACTTCGTACATTGTACCAATCGATTTCATCTCGTAGATTGGCGATGAGGTGTCGAAGAGCCCGATTAGGTTCTTGTTTGTCTTTGTAGCATCCAATTTCAACCATCACAGGTACAGCTGAAAATACCGTTAACCACAATCAGTGCTTAGTTTTGAGATCAAGACGTTGTTTAGGATGTGTTGTATAATTCTCCGTCGCTACTGTTTTTTCTTCGCCGTTGAGTTATACATGCTTTTCACTCACCTGTGTGAAGACACTTAACTCCAGCGTCATCCTTGTGGGTACAACCCCSTATCTGTCCCCACCCTTTGTGCTTACATTGGTACAAGGATTTCTCATCACCATTACACTGCATACCACTCAACCATATGGGACCAGTTCCCTCGCCGTACTTGGCTTTTCTCGTCTCRTGAATAGCTTTGAGCATGTTCAATTCATTGCATACAACCTACAAGTATGAATACATATCTTACGTCAACTCTTGCGACAGCTAAGTATGTTATGACGTCATGATTTATTACGTCATAGCTTTACGTACCTGTGCATCATCAAGGTCCCAGTCTTTATCGCATATTGTTCCCCACTCGCTGTTATGGTACACCTCGACTCGACCGGTCCCATTATTGGAGGGTAGATGCTYAGGTATTACCAATCGTAAAGTATTGGCTGCAACAGTAACAAATCAAAGTCGGCGACCCTCTCTTAAACGACCACTTTGTTGCATAAATGCTAGTTAACGAACGCTGTCGGTCATAACTTGGACCACATCGATGAACAATGAACTTTGATTTTGCCCTTACTAATGTATATGACTAGAAAGAATTGTATTCAAGTGATACCTTTAATAGCCGCAATTTGACTCTGTCGTGCAAACGGTGAAAGTTCTCGTGACCATCTGCGGGATGTCGCAGGTGACGATCGTCCGTCACTTAGTCTCCCTGTAACAACATCGACATAACGATACACGGGTTAATGGTACACATGAGAGCTTCTGAAATACGCAACTTGGCGTTTTTTGGTTTGATTCTATAGTGTAACAGCAGCATTGCTGTGATTGTAGTCGGGTGAGGCATGCCGGGATTGATACGTACCTAACCCTTGACGAAGGAACTCATYCCTATCTTGACCAAAACTGTAGATAGCATTCTCAAACAACTCCTGGCCATGCTCTTTGGCCATGAAGTCATGAGGCCTTGCAAAATCCTCTAAAACACGATGRMAAATTAGAATCGCRATGTTAACACATTAAAAAGTGCATGGAAAACAGAACTCAGAATTAAGGGGGCAAAAGAAAATGAAATAAGTGGAAAGCAAAAAAATCTTAGCAGAAAAAGAAAAAGGAAAGGAAAAAGAGAAAGGAAAGCGAGAAAATGAAATGAATAAATAAATAGTGATGAGAAATGAGTAAAAAGACACTTTCACCTTTCTTACCAGCTAAAGCAACAGAAAAGGTGACTAAAACCAAAACAAAGTACATGATGATTGCAGAGACCGGTTTGTTCGGCGACTGGTTTTGCTCTCCCAGCAAGAATTCCAACTTTCACCTGATGTCCTTCTGCACACCGGACTGGAACAATCATCAACCAATAGCCAATTATCCAGTATCAAAGACAAACACATTGCTACCGGTTTGTCGTAAAATGTACAGGAATCCTTCCGGCTAGAACAATATTGATTGATGGCGCAAGGTGTACTCCGTCTGCTTCCAATCCGCTTTTCATTCTGAATATTGTAAATTGCTTGTTAGCGACATACTGCAGAATTAAACAAAAATTGATACAAATATTGTTATATTGTTATTTCAATTGCTTATATATAGATTTATCCTCCTTTGCTCCCGAATCACCTAGATTCAATTTCAGTGTACAAGGTGATGATCTTGATCAGTTTACAATCACTAGAGACCAACGTCTTGGTTAAGGGTCGATTAAGGGGTTTATTTACTATACATGTCAATAGTGGATAAAATAAAGATTTGTTTGTGGAACACAGCAAACAACATGTCAATCATTTCATTAATAATAAAGTAAATAATTGTTGTGCTTTAGTTTAATTGGTGCAACTTTTTTCCTGCAAGAAATTGTTGGTTTCGTAACACCAAACGTCCAAACTTTTTTATAACTCGTAAGGAGAACATGATTCCAGGAAATACGTTTCTGCATTTCACTAGGCAGTGCTATAAGTGGAATTTGTTGTTGAAAAAGAAAAGGAAGACACTGTAACAAGAAATCGTTAACAACGGTGAATATGTTTGCGTAAATTATTAAACAAGGAAAACAAGAGGAATCCGGTCTTGAAGTATTTGTTTGATTTTACTTCAATTACCATGGAATCTATCATGCAAACACATTATGTGAAATTGAGATCCTTCGAGCAGGCCAAGACTAAGGTATCTAATAATTTCAGTCTATGTACCATGCTCAACGTGTGGTTGTACATTGAATGTAAAGTTTTTAATTTTTCGTCTTTCTCAGCTGTTTTACATGAGGTCACGATGAATCAATTTCTTGCCGCAGTGCTGTTCCTCCCTGTGGTTTTCTGTGGTAAGACGAAATGTTATCGACCAAATGAAGTGTGTTTTTGAATTGTTGCTTGCTGGAAGCTCGCATAGCACAATACGAAACAGATAAATTTTTCTTATGTTTTCTTTTCCTAACAATCGATCAAATGTAAGAAAATGTGCATGACTGAAATGAGTGGAAACAGTCACAAAACAACAAAACCAACTAATGGAATGACTACTGTTCCTAATATGAGAACAATACAAAAATAACACACGATTTGTTCCTTTTTTCAGCCACAAAGCGAGAAGTAGGTACGTATTCTTTTTGGGATTCAGTTCATTCAATAAAACTACGAGTGCAGCTTAACGTTCTTTGACTGACACGCCTAATGCATGCATGCTACCGTTTATCATGTTTTCATAGGAGCAGATGTCAGGATAGTCAAGCCCCAAGGCATGTCGGGTAAAGGGTTTGGCCGTGTTGAAGTGAAGCATGCTGGTCAATGGGGGACGATTTGTGACAATAACTGGGACAGGAATGATGCTCAAGTCGTTTGCAATGAATTAGGATTCGTCAAAGCCATTCAACAAACGAGGTATAGTGACATTCATGGCCTAGAAGAAATTATTAGATGTTTATCAAATTTCTTTTTAAAATGAGATGTGAAATGTTTTGATAGAAATGCCATGTATGGCCAAGGAACRGGGAAAGTATGGCTAGAAAACGTTCAATGYAAAGGCAATGAAYTGAAGCTGACTGACTGTCCCCACGGGGGATGGGGTGAGACGGGATGTTCACATGCACGTGACGCTGGTGTAAAGTGTCTTCAAGAAGGTAAAGTTCTGTGATTTGATTGTTGCCGGAACCATTGCCATTGCAGTAATAGCTGTACACAGCGTTCAACCGTGCGTTTCAGTTCCACCAGAAGTTGTTAGATCTATCAATTCTTCTTTCATTCAAAGTATTACAAATACTCCTCAATTAATCTAATAGACCATAATTTTCACAAGGTGTTCCTCAAATACTTGAAGTTGGTTGCTATAGAGACGTCGTGGCAGTTGGTGCCCGGGCCCTTTCTGATATGTATTACAATGCACGTGATACTGGTGAAATAGACTGGTTTAATATTAGAAGTCTGGTTACCCTGTGTGCTGAGCATGCGCATGCTCGTGGGTACAAGTATTTTGGAATCCAGTTCTTTGGTGAATGCTGGGGGTCTAAGACGGGTCATTTGGATTTCGATATTCATGGAAAAGGAACCAATTGTTATGAAGGTATCATTATTGTTATATCAATTCTTCTTAAAAGAAGATCATAAGTTATAAGTCCATATCTGCCATATCATATGCAGGTGTCGGTGCCCAAAGCCATAACTTCGTCTATCGCTTCGCTCCATGGAAAGACCTCGGCTGCTGGCACGATGTTGGATCGGATCGCGCGATGACACTTCTTGAGAATTTCCGAAGCTCAATCGATTGGTTCCACCTTGAAGTGACAGGTATAAAACGTGTTGCATTTATTTCTGAGAAGGGCTATCACGTGACTGGTTTCCTACCTGGAAAAGAACCGCTACTAACAATATTTTCATGTTGTAGTTAAGAAATGTTACAAAGCAGCAAGGAAGGCAGGCAAGAAGTATTTCGGAATCCAGTTCTATGGCGAGTGCTGGGTTGGTGATGGTTCATCCTACCAGAAGCACGGCTACTCGACCAACTGCTTCAAAGGAGTGGGTCGACACTGGACTAACTACGTCTATCAGATTTTGTGGTAGATAGATTACACAGGGTTACCATCCTGTTGCTTGTGAGTCAATGTGTTCAATAAATTTCACAGTGCCTTAATGTTATGGGATGGTTTAYTTTACTGCAGGGTAATGTTATCAAATTTTGTTGCTTTGTGTGTAAATCAGTTAATTTTCGGGGTTAACCCGTTGCCCTCTATTCACAGCGTAAGGGTGTGAAGCAAGCAAAGTATTAAGCAAGCAATTAGCGAACTACACTAGCAATTGCAAACATTTCATGAGCACTCGATATTTTTAATAAATTTCAAAACACCTTTTTGCAAAAATACTACATTCTTCTGTTTCAATAAAAAGAAATAAGAAATAATCCAATGCAATTTTTGCACCATGTAAAATCCCATAAATGATACTCTTTTTGTCTGTACAAAATATTATTCACAATTTATCAAAATTTGCAGTTTTTGAATTTTCTTTCATTACCTTAAAAACACATTGTTACCAATACGTAAAAAAATAGGAAGCCCGATCTATCCAATGATGATTTTACGTTATATTAAAAATATTTATTATTATGTGCAATCAATGGGCTTCCTGTGTCTTTGCCACATCGTACCCCGGTGTACATGCCTCTGAAGTACAAAATGATCCAGTACCTCAATCGCTTTATTTTTTTTTCTGAAATACAAAAAAACTCTATCAGAACAAAGAAAGTAAAAATAGACGAGTGAAATGGAGAAACGAATGAATGAATGAAATACAAGCTCAGTTTTCTAGTTTCTCTCCACCTTATGTCAGTCTATTGTTATATCAATTATAGGATTACTAGTTCCTGGTTATTTTTCAATG